CGTATTGTACAGGGAAATAAACACGTCAGACTACCTGGCCATATTACAGACCGACATAAATATTTTATCTTCTTGGAGCAATCAATGGAAAATGAGCCTAAATTTAAGTAAATGCAAACATATTCTTTTCTCGAGAAGTAAGCTGCACGATTTTCATAGCTACCTAATCAACGGGACTGTTTTATGTACTGTGTTTGAGTATGTTTACCTAGGAGTGCTATTTGCGGATTCCCTAAAATGGAACAGCCATATAGAACGTACAATCGGAAACGCTAGTAAAATGTTTTATTTTATCCGTCGAAATTTTAGATCCGCGTCGCGAAACGTTAAAGAAACACTTGATTTTTCTTTGGTAAGAACGATCCTTGATTACGCGTGCGTTGTGTGGGACCCTTATCAAGACTTCCTTATCAATAAACTAGAAAAAATTCAAAATCAGGCCGCGCGTTTTGTACTGAACAACTATGACCCTTATGCTAGTGTTACAGATATGAAAGTCATGCTGGGATGGGAAACACTCGAATGTAGACGAAAAAAACTAAGACTAAAATTTTTCCACCGTGTCTTTCACAACAAAACAGGAATTGATAAAGCCACTTATCTTACGGAGCCATCCTACGTTTCTTCTCGTTGTGATCATTCTAAAAAGGTTGCTGTTCCCACCTACAGGACTGACAGTTTTGCGAATTCATTTTTTGTCAAAACCGCGAGAGAGTGGAACGACCTCCCGGAAAATATTGTGTCCATTGATGATAATGACGTTTTCTTTTTCCACTTGTTATGTTTTCTAAAACCCCCCTACAATAATGCCCACAGGGCGATGTAGGTACAATGTAAATAAAAATAAATGAATGAATAACGTTTCACGCGCCGCACGTGCCGGCGCGTGCGGCGCGTGGAACACCATTCCCGGCATTCTCCTTGATGCTGGGGTAATTTAGGAATAGGTCTATTCAGTAGATTAGTTATGTATAGAAACCATTTTCAAGATCAGTGTACTCTCAGTTAGTTAATAAATGTTTCTCAAAGATTTACCGGTGTGCGACCCACGTCGGCCATGTCAACGCTCGCACCGAACTCTCTTTGTTGTCATTCCAAGCGCTTGTGCCTACTTCCCTTACCTCCCGCCCTCCCGATCCCGTTGCGCGTGTCTAGTTTCCTCCGGCTTCTCGGGGTGAGTCTGTGTCGTTTGTTAAACAGCTTCGCTGTTCATTTACCTTCACAAAGTGGAATGGCTCATGACTTTTTTTATCGTAAAACATATTAATTATGCGAAGAATAGAAAAAGTCCTAAGTGACATCTCTTCCGGCCTGGAGTAGACAAACTGCTAACATCCCAAGACCGATTCGCACGAAAAGGTGGGGTGTCTTGGTTGCTGTCAAAAGCTACTTTTCAAATCTGAAGTAAATGTTGGGGTAAAAATATTAATAGTTTGGGTCAAATTAAAAATTTTGCAGATAAATTTTGTTATAGCCGTGTGTTACCTTCCATCTAGTCTTGATTGTTCCTTTTTACCAAAGTCAAATGTGACTCTTCTCCAGGTCCTTGCGGAATACCGTAGCGCAATTGTTGTTCTCGCTGGGGATCTTAAGTTTCCAGGAATTGACAGGGTTTCTTAAATTCTGACCCCCTCAGTGTGTCCGGTTTATGAACTGAACGAGAAGTTTCCTTTTTCAACTAAATCATCAAAGTGCCTACGAGGGGTGAATGAACTCTAGATCTATTTTTACTGCCCACCCTAATTGCGTGAGTAACTTGCAAATTTTGTTTCTTGTTTAGTGACCACGCTCTTTTAAATAAAAAACTGTCTTTTGATGTATGTTTCTGAAATGTCAGGATAATTGGGAGCATTGCCAGACCAAACGCCGTCAGTATCAACGCCAATTTTAGAGGCATTTCAGTGCTTTGAGAGTTCGTTTAATACACTTTCAGTGAATCGCAACTGGTGTATACGAAAAGAAATGATTCATGACTTTCTTGATCAATACATTCCTATACGTCGGATTATTTGTAATTCTTTATCTTGTTGTTTTAATATCAGTATAAAAAAATGCTAAGCAGAAAAAAAGAAAGAATAAAAAAAAAAAAAAAGAAACTCTCAGTCCGCTAATAATGACAATGGCGATGCTCTGTTGTTCTCTTTTCCGGGATTATGCTAACATTTGTTAAAATAAAATAAAATATGCGAAACGAAACTTTTTTGAAAACGATCTTTACAATATGCATATCTCTAATCGAAAAAAAAGTTAAAATTATTAACACTTTTCTAAAGAAAACACGCCCGCTTATCCTAGACTCGAATGGAACACAACTTCGTGACAGTGAAGTTTGTGATAAATTTAATTAATATTTCAGTGGTGTTTTCACCCGAGAAAATGTCCCCACAAAACAACAGCATGCCTTAAGTGAAATAAAGGCTGTAACCATTTCCTCAGAAGGAATCTTGCATTTATTAGAGAATCTTTCAATCAGCTCATCTCCTGACTGTGACGGCATTAACAACATAACATCTTAAATATGTCCAAGCACACTTCATCTTTCTGTTTGAGTACAATTTTAATCAATAGCTCACCACAGGTAGCCTTCCCACTAACTGGAGACATGCTAACGTAAATTCTATCCTTAAGTACGAATCTTCTGAAGGACCTAACAATTACCGGCCTATTTACTTAATTAGTGTGTGTTTCAAACACATCGAACATAATATTTTTACAAATTATTTGCGTTTTTTTTTAAGTTCAAACAATGTTTTGTTTTGTAATTAGCATGGATTTCGTTAAAAAACTATTTTATATAACGCCAGTTTTTTAGCTGATTACTGATATTCATAATAACCTCAATACATTTACATAGAAACACGCTCTGTTTATTGACTTTTCAGAAGCTTCTGATCGGATAGCACACTGCAAACATATCGCTAAACTAAACCACTTAGAAATTACGTCAGTACTAATACGGTGCCTGGAACGCGTCTCCGACTGGTGTGTTTATCGAGTCCAAAACAGTGGTCCCTCGATATCCCTCTCATGACGTCATAGAAGTGCCATGCTGTCGCCGGTCGCGAACCTGGCGGCGTCCCAATAGCTGTGATGTGTGTGGCAGACGCCTGTTCTGCTGCAAGTCGCTCTCTACTGTGACAGTCCACGGAAGCTGCAGCAGCCGGAAGTTGGCACGCCTGGGACGCCGTGACGACAGCGACACTCGCGTACGCCTGTGGTTTTCGCCAGCATTTCTACGACCAACCGCCAGGATCGCGACATGCAACAGCATGACACTCCGGCTTCTGTGACGACCACTTTGCGACCACTTTTGATGTAAGGACGGGATAGGACGCCAAAACACACCAGTCGGAGACGCGCTCCAGGCACCATAGTACTAATTACTTGCATGAACAATTTTCTTATCCAAAGAGCTCAGTCTCTCAGATTGGGGGAAGCCACTTCTTATTCTTTACAAGTTATCTCAGAAGTACCCCAAGGAACCGCACTGGGCCGATTTCTATTTTTGATTTACATTAATGATACTGGTTGCCAACACGCTGTGTTCGTTTGTTTGCCGACAATCTTGTTATTTATTGCTCTATTACCAATGAAGACGACTGCAAGGCATTGCAAGACAACTTATGTTTGATTGAGAAGTGGTGTGCTGTATGGCTCATGTCTATCAATCACTTAAAACCTGAATGTGTATTGTTTTCGAAATTGCGTAATTCAATCACCTATAGCCTTTCAACTCGCCCTCTATCCACTCAGAAAAGTACTTTTTTTTTAATACCTTCGCGTTCACTGGGGGTCCAACCTGTCATGGAAAACTCATATTGAGCATATAGCTTCAAGCGCAAATAAAACCAAAGGATTCCTAAGACGCCATTTTTATAAAACTTCGCCAAAAGTCGAACACTGCACCCTCGTCAGATTCAAACTGGAATACGCCTCTACCATCTGGAACCCTCATCAGACTTTTCTCTCCGACATGTTAGAATCAATTCAAAACCGTGCTACTGGCTTCTTTGTGCACGATTATTCAATATCAAGTATTTCAATACTAAAAACTTAATCTCTTTACCTCCCCTTTAAAACAGGCGCACTGTAGACATACTTTTTTTTTATAACATATTTACAAACCTTAGACTCATGGCAAATTCTTCTCAGCAGCTAATCATATTTCCCGTTGTCGCGACCATTTAAATAAGCTGGAATTGCCATCTGCCAAAAAATAACAATTTTAACAATTCACACCTACTTTTGTCTTTCAGTGATTTGAATGCATTACCAGTATCTCTTGTAACAATATTTGGTCATTTCTTGTGTTCAACAAAATTCACTTGACATGCGTTTTCTCACTAGTCACTGAAGTTGAACGGCGCTTGGTAAGTTGTAATCTTCCTGTGTAATTAACTTATTTGTGTCAAATGTGTTTATATAATACCCCCTCCCCAATGTAATGCACCGCTGGAGCCCATACTTCTCCCTCGCCCCCCCCCCCCCCCCAAAAAAAAAAGCACTATCCACTTTCAATTTTTCGTATAAAACCACCATTTACACTTTTCTTCAAAAGCACGATGCACTTTATTTGCACACAACACAACCAGTATTTATTTAAGCAAAAAATAACACCACGAATTTTAAAACCATCGCTGCATTTAAAGAGTTACTTGGCCCAGTTGGTTCATGTAGCAAGGCGTAAGACCATCACTTTGCAAAATACTACCGTGCTTTAATTGATTCTCTCTTTAGCACCAAACATTTGAGGAGATGAAAACTGTAACTGCTCTAAGTACATAGGCGATTTTCTGATTTATTTCACCGGTGTATCTGCTTTCTGTACAAGAAAAAAAAATATTTATATATATATATATATATATATATATATATATATATATATATATATATATATGTCTAATTAAATCCTATCTCTGAAGACAGATCTTGGGAGGTCAGGTTGGCTTTTGCCATGAAGTTCAGGTAAAGGAAGTTGTCGTTGTAGGTTCTGCGTCCTGTCAATTGTTGACTGGTTCCTCAGATATGACTGGAGTGGTGTCATCGCCTTCAACGATGTTTCCGAAGTAATTTTCGTTCTCAAGGACCGGCTTGTCTTCCGGTTCTTCAGTTTTGACCCAAACACCGGCGTTCTCGGTCACGGTTTCCGGATCGTTCTCTGCAATCGTCAAGCGCACCTGGTTCTTCTGACTCCGCTTTCTATTGTTGATGTCCTTGAAGTATGAAGGTGGCAAGATCTGACACTTCTTGGGGGCCGATTTGACAAGCTCGTACTTCTTACACTTTGAAGGGTTGTGGGACCTGAAACCGCATTTTTATTCCTTTTGAGTCACGAATGTAAGAGAGACGATGCGGCGTCATGCGATACTGTGCACCGAAAAAATGAGAGAGAGGACGAGATGAGAACGCGTGGGAGGGATGTGAGAACACCCAAGTCTGGCTTGAATGATTAGCGGGAAGACGTAAACCTCGATGTCATTGTCTATACCCAATCTTCGAGCGCGTTCGAAAGCTAACGCAAAACGCTGGACGCTGGCGTTTCGCATTGCGTTCGAAGTGTGACAAGAAACAAAGGCACCTAGCTTTGCATGTATCAGCTGATCATTCCAACCAGAGCTCGGCGTTCCTACCGCGCCCCCGTCCCCTCCTCTCACTATGTTTACCGTCGCGCTACCGTACCTTTTTTTTCTATACTCATCGTACAACGATGTTAGAGCTACTGCTGCGAGCGCGTAGTTTCACCTAGCGCTTAAACTTGCGCTAGAGACCGTCACATTCAATGCTAAAACTAGATATAGGCTGGCGGCAGTAGCTTTGCAAACGTTATATGAGTGTTAAGGTGGTGTACATTCGGCTTTTAGCGAAAATGGATCTTGGCAGCTTCCACTTTCGATACCACCTGCTTCCCTCGTCTTATAAAAGGGAAAACACTTGACGCTGAAGCCACTTGTAAACCCTTCTTTAAACAGTGAAAGGACCTTACACATACAGTGCGTCAAACGTGTGCCCGAATGGTGCTGATAATATTAGAGTTCTGTACCGCGAATGCATTGGTGGAGCTCTGAAATTGCAACAACACTAGTCGTAGGGTTGATTAATAAACTGGTTAATTTTCAAATGATTCCATACTATCTGTGGCTTGTTTGTGATGCGCTGGCGGAGAACTCACGAGGTCGTAAGTGTGTCTCTCATCGTGGAGTTCACAGAGTCGCCACTGTGTGCAATCCGACCTATGGCAGCTTTTGTTTTCGTCTAATGTTGTACGCTTTTATTTTTATTTTTGTGTTATGTATTCAGCCTTGCTGCCGTGCCAATATATTGCGGCATTCCGCAAAATCACAGTCGTGAGATGAGGAGGCGAAAATTGAAAGGACAAAATAGAGGTGGTAAATTCACCACTCAGACGCGTTCTAGGCACCATATCAGTGTAACTAAGATAGAAACCAGGACCTGAAAATGACGCAAACATTACTGAATTCTCCATCCACCCAGACTGCAAAGAAGCTGACATTTGACATGATTACATGACGGAGCCGTAGACATTTACCGACGGGCTCCCGATCCGCAGTCCAGCCTACTACAATGATCAGTGCTCGCGCTGGGTAGGGTGCAATCATGTGCACACAGGGTAACGACATCTGGACATTTTCTTTTCCGAACGCCTATTTCAATTTGTAATCCTGAAATGCGTGAAAGAGCGTGTCCCTGCACGCGATCTGTGTGCTGGCCATAGCCTCCTCTATACTCACAAAGCCTGGCAGTTTGACGACGGAGCCATAGAGTGCTCGGTCGCAGACTTGGAGCTTGAAGATCCGGTGGCAGATAGCATTTCTCGGCGAAGCTGCTGGTCAGCGCACAGCTTTTGCAGTGGCGAGGACCCGAAACATGGTTTTCAAACCCGACGAGAAACGAAGCGGTAGCGGAAGGAACGCGAGGTGCACGTACGGACATTCCATTGCTCGGGAGAAGTGTGTTTCGGCGTCTCGCCACAACGGGCCGTCCGTTACATGACTCTCCACTTATCCGTTGTCTGCTGTTCTACCTTTTCGCTTTCGGTGGCCGCGTTTCGTGGTGATCTGCCAGGCTTTGTCAGTACAGACATTTCCAATGTTTACAAAATTACAGTCCATTGTGCGAACGTCCCAGTCAGGCACGTGCCTGTTCGTCGCTTCGGAAAGCAAGGAAAGTACGTCAGAAGCATAGCCTTCTCTATAGACCTTTCCAAAAAAAGGAGCTATGTGCTGACGGCAACATTTTTTTTCTTAGCGATTTCTTTGTCTTTTCCCGGTGAGCGCGTGCTGTCAGCATCGGGTACTACCAACGGCTTGAGACGAGACAACTGAAACTTCTTTTTGTCGTCCTCAATTTGCGAGCTGAGCGGTAGGTGCTATCGAGTTGTCTTGAATTATTTCATTATCAATGCATCTTATGAAATCCCCAAATCACCGGATTGGATTATTAGGAACGACGATCGTCGTTCTTTATTATTCCAATCTGTAAAGTAAATTGTATCTTAATATTCAATCTTCCAAAAAATACGTTTACAAACCACTTTTGAAGTTGAACTCATTCTCTTAACTTTTCACCCCGTCTCCGTCCCCCCCCCCCCCCTCCCATACTCGCCAATGCAAACAAAAAAAGAAAGCAAATGACCCTCTGATTCTTTTTTGCAAGGAAGATGAAGAACGAAAATGTTCAGATAATTCTAAGTTCAAAAACCTACGCTGGCTGAAAAATATATGTTGTACATTAACACTACATAACTGAAAAAAAAATCAAGTGTATTTTTGTGATGTCTATTTTTAATATAAAATTAATTCAATAATACGATCTACAGTTGTTATCCGACCTGAGAATATACACCGGAGAACAGATATTGCCGCGCGCAAGGCTGAGAAAGCAACGCTCGGTCACGGTCCTCCAGAAAGTTCCCGTTTATTCATGTACCGCACGTAACTTCTATCATTTGTCCCTGCTTTTGTTTTCTAGAAAGTGCGTGTTCATTCTCGCCCCGATCACGCGACGCTCGAACCGCTTTCGCCGAATCTTCGAGATAGCGGCGCACTCTAGATAAGAGGCCGCCCGCGACCTTGTCGAGTCAGTCTCGCCCTAGCGCTCGATTCTGCTGACACGCCGACTTCGACGCCCGCGACGCTCTGCTTTCTTCTGTTTCCTTCTTTATTTTCGGCACAAGTTCGCCACATTAAACGTTTCTTTATTACTGTTTATTTCTTGTTTATTGATCACCACCCGTGACATTTTGGTGGAGGTGCGGGGTACCGCATGCCCGTGCAGCGCTCCCCTCCCAGTTCCCGCAGTGCAAGTCCGAACCCAGCCTCCCGAGGACCGAGCGAAGACCAGATCGAGACCCGATCCAGTCGCCGCACCCAAGGTCTACCCCCGGAACACGGACTTCTGCCACCCCGGACCAGGCAGCCAACGAGGCCGACGATGGAAAACCAGTCGTCGCAGAACCCGTCCGCCGCCGCCGTCGTATACCTTCCCGTCTCACCCCGGACTCCGACACCATTCCACGGGGAGGTCCACGAGGATGTTGACGATTGGCTGCAACATTACGAACGAGTTGCCCGCCATAACGCATGGACACCGGAGCAGTGCCTCCTGAATGTCTACTTCTCTCTGGAAGGCACGGCACGCACGTGGTTCGAGAACCACGAAGCGTCCATTGCGTCGTGGGAAGAATTCCAGGCCGAGCTGCGACGGACCTTTGCCAACCAGCACCGACGGCAGCGTGCCGAAGAACTCCTGCGAGCGAGAACCCAGGGGTCGACCGAGAGCGTCACAAGCTTTGTCGAAGACGTTCTTCACCTCATGAATCGCGCCGACCCAACCGCTCCCGAAGAGAAAAAGCTGCGGGTCTTGATGCGCGGTGTGAAGGAAAACATCTTCGGTGGCCTTGTGCGGAGCCCGCCGACAACCGTCGAAGCTTTCATCGCCGAAGCAACCAACATCGAGCGCGCGCTTCAGGCACGTGCTTCCCACTACCAGCGACATCCAGGCGTCGCTGCACCCACACTACTTAACGGCGAAAACACTCTGAGTACACCGGACATCCGGGAAATTATCCGAGAGGTTGTCCGGGAGGAACTGCGAAGGTTGCTGCCAACTACCAGCCGTCCGCCAACCCTTTCCATCGCCGAGGCTGTCCGAGAAGAAGTGCATCGGGCGCTCCAACCAGAGGTTCCCGTCACCACGGTGGCACCGGAGGAACCGACGTTGAGCTACGCTGCGATGGCCCGACGAGCGCCGCAAGCTCCCCGCCAAGCCACGTCGCCACCCCGAAGAGACGCCCCAACGCCGCAGTACCCCCGACGAATGGAAGATCAGGCGCCGAGGAAGACAGACGTCTGGAGGACGGCCGACCGACGCCCGCTGTGTTACCACTGCGGGGAAGCTGACCATGTGTACCGCCGATGCCCATACCGACGACTCGGGCTGCGCGGGTTCCACCCGAACGACCCGCGACCCCGTTACGGTGAACGCCCTCGGGAAATCGACGAGTACCTGCGACGACCTCAGTCCCCCGAGCCTGCGTTCCGCCGAGAGTTCCGGTCACCTTCGCCACGACGTCCAGCTTCGCCGATGCACCGACCCCGCCGTGAAAGCCTGTCGCCCCTCGCTCCACGCCGGGGAAACTAGGCGCGGCAACCCCTGGAGGTGGAGTTGCCGAAGACGACCGACGCCAAGATCCTCCACGAACGTCGGAGGGCCCCCACTCGAAGGCTACCAGAGACCGAAACGACGCCCCTGCAGCGGTGTCCAATAACCTAAATGTCGTCATTGACGGCCACGACGCATCAGCACTCGTGGACACCGGAGCAGACTACTCGGTCTTGAGTGGAAGGCTCTCCCGCCGCCTTCGCAAAGTCATGACGCCGTGGGATGGACCCCAAATACGAACCGCAGGAGGACATCTCATCACGCCCGTCGGAAGGTGCACTGCTCGCGTCGAAATCCACGGCGAGACGTGTCCGGTAAAGTTCGTCGTTCTACAAGACTGTTCCAGAGATGTCATTCTTGGCATGGACTTTCTGTGTGAATACGGCGCCGTCATCGACCTGGGTGAGAACAGACTGACGCTGCGGAAGCCTGTTCCGCCTTCAGAGAAACCCCAAACAGGGTCAGCCGCTGTCCGAGTCGCCACCGACCACGTGAACCTGCCGCCGCGATCAAGTATTGTCGTACCCGTCGTGGCAGATACAGCTACCTGCGGCGAAGTTGTCCTAGAAGGCAACCTTCAATTGCTCCTGGGAAGAGGAATAGGCGTCGCAAGAGGGGTA